AAAAGACTTAAACACCTAAATCACTATTTCTTACTATTACTGAAGAACTAATGTATTTTCTTAGAGAAGTGACAACTCTAAAGTCGCAATTATGCAATTGACTCCACTCACAGTCAAATAAAAAAAAATGTTGTTCAGAAATCTAGAACTGCAATAGGTAATTAGAAACTATTGATTATTGAACCTCAGAAAACCACTTCAATCTCAAGAAGGAGACTCACATTTTTCTGTTAAAAGAAAATAAAAAATAAAGGAGATAACCTTACCAGAGTATTATATAAACTGATGTCTACTTCAAGACCACTTCTGACATGGAAAAATTTGACAATGGGGACTTTAGCAGTTGTTATAGGCAAGACATTTCTTAAACCTAGGATGAAATGTTTTAATTACTGAATGACAGCAATATAGTCATAACAGTATCAAATGCTCTACAATTAACTCCAAACTGTAGTAAAAAGGCTACAAAATAAAAATCTTAGTTGATACCAAAATTGTATTTCAGTTGCATTTTAATATTGATTTTAGGCATTTGTAAAACATGATGAATGTGCTAAATACAATATATACAAGTACATATTTAGCTGCCTAGTAAAACAAAGATCAGTCTAAATGTTACAGAAAAATAAACCTAAGAGATCACTGATAGTTTGCTCCAATTATGTTAAATTTGTCCAAGATACACCAAAACAAGCACTATAAAATGACAAATTCTTGCAGAAAAAACAGAATTCCCATTGCAAACTTGTATCAGCCTAGCTTGTACTATTAACTTATTAGGCACTGAACATAAAAATACAATATAACTACTAACTCAAAGCCTCAAGCTTTAACTTAAGGTTTGTTCTTATGCATGTAGGTTATAAATACACTATCTGTCCAATTCAGATGTGGTCCTACAACATTATAGCCTCATAGACCTACCTGTGCAAACAAAAATAAATCCAAATGTTCACAACATACAACCTCATTAACATTAAGCTCTTCAATATAGTTTTATCTTAATGATTTTCTTCTACAGTGCCCCTGAATGTTCTCACTACAGCAACTGAAACCACATAAACAGAACCACTTATTTCAATTTTCAAGACAGTTACCTGACTGTTTCTTGAGAACTTTTGCTAAATCTTCAATTATTCTGATGCAATCAAGCCCCTAAGACATTAAGAAAAAAGGTTGAAAGTTGTATCTGCTACAAGTATTTTAGGCAAACCTTTTATTATTTGCTATTAAGCTTAAAGCTGCATAATTGAGTTTCATATTATACAGAATTAGGTGAACACCAGAAATTGTTTCAAACCAGCAACTTGCAAAACCAACACTATACGGTATCTTAACATAGGCTTATAAAAAGTTTATTTTAGGCATGAAATGAGATTGATGTCTGTTTTCCACTGTCTCCCATTCTAGTTGTTTATACTACAAAGCACATTATTAAATTGCACAGCTAATGCTAGAAGTAACGGTAGCGCAGGATTCAAAAAACTGACTACTGAGCGTAGTTCTTAAGCTCATGCCTATGCCAACAGCAAAACCCCCTAAAATAATGTGCCTTTGTGGCACCAATTTGTGTTTTCTTCTAATCTGAAAAGCTTTTACAAAATAATAAATTTGTTACGCTATATACATGATATAACAATAAAACTGTGCATTTATTTTAAAAAAAAAAAGAATATTTTTCAACTACCTCAGCAGTTTCCAGCCCATCAATCGTCATACAGATATCAAGGTCACTTTGTCTGAAGCCAAAGCCATTTTTTGAGGAGCCAAACAAATTCAGCTTGGTTCCTGTAAGAGAAGAAATGGGTTATAACCACATGTAGACACAGAATCTCAAATTGTATACAGTTTCAAACCACTGCATGTCTTTTAACACAGGCAGGAAAACATTATCTTTCTGTGGTACAACAAAACTTACTTTCCTTACCAACTTTGCTGATGAGTAAAGAATCTCTGCTTTTATTGGTTTAAATGAGCAGCCTGACAGATCCAGAAACAAGCTAGGTTTTCCAGTAATTCATCAACATGCAGGTCCAAGCTGAAATATTATAAAATATACAGGACTGCTCTCTACAGAGATTTTCAGGATAAGGGACTTACTTGTCCACATACCAGGCTCCAGCAAAAAAAATATTTTGCTAATTTTGAAAGACTATGAACTGAAGTCCAGGTGTAACAGGTAAGAACTCCAGAAACAAACAAACAAACAAATTCAAACAGCTAAATTCTGTGGATAGGTCAGATGTTGTACCTGTATTTTAAAATATTCCAAAACCAGTAAGTTTCAGTAGGGGGGACTAAAAAAACTTGTTGTTTGTAATAGCAGATAGAACAACAAGCAGTCCAGCTAATTAATAAGGCTAAAATAACAATTATAAAACTATTCCACTACAGCTTTGATTGTTTTCTCCCTAACTTGCCATTGTTCCTTCCTCCTAATGTGTTGCATATGTGACTAAGGCAAAAAAGACTTAAACTAAAGTCTTAAAAAACTTAACCAGAAATTAATTAACTATAGCAATGCTGAGCAAAAATACAGGTTAAATTTCAAAACTGTACGTTTTCTTGGAAAACACTCAAATACTAACACACCAAGGTACAAACCTAAACCTATAACTGCTTAATTACCTGGGAAATCCTGCCTAATGAAGTTTTCCAAGTTCTGTCTTATATGTTCCCGAGCCTGATCCTCTACATTATTTGGAGCAAAATCACCTTAAAAAAAAAAAAAAAAGAAAAAGACAATTCAGGCAAACTGATCCATAGAAAGAGTCAACAGCAATAATTCAGATGAAAAAAGTGAGGGGGTTTACAGTGGCAGGGGAGAGAGGAAATGCAAGAGAGAATTCACATGTGAAGGAAAAACAGCTAGGATGAAGTAGAAGAGGAAATACCTGTTCAAAGAAAAACATTAATTAGACTAATAATGCATTTTGTCTGGTCAGAAATGGTGAGAGAGAAAGGAAGAAATTTGGGTCACTCTGAAAAGAACAGAAGTGGAGAAGTGTTATATTTTTTCTAGAACACTGAAGTCTTTATTAAAAGCCACAAGTTAAGGAACAGTAACGAAATTCTAAGTAGATGGAAATGTAAAAGCATCAGTCAAAAAATCCATCCAAAATTAAACTCTTAGAAATTATATTAAGATGACTAAATGAGCAATCAGACAGCCAGTGTGTGGACGATAAACCTAAACATTTTGTATTTCTCTAGGTACAAACTACTCAGTAGTCCTATTAAAGCCTTTACAAATCTTAGAATCATATCTAAGAGAGTTGTGTGCAGTGTAGCAAATAAACTGCCCCCTATATAACACCATTAGTCTGTGGTTATTTCTTCTTTTGCAATTCTTTTTCTACTGCATAACAATATTCAAAGGGAAAAAAAAGACTTACGGTAACATTGGACACAAACTTGATCTAGAATAACTGAAAATTTGGGTGTCAGCGCTGGCAGTGGGTCAAGCTCAATTTTCTTGAAGTCTTCTGGACAATCTCTCTTTAAATGACCTTCCCGTTTGCATAAGCTACATACTACTGTGGGAGACTGCATGAACAGAAAGCAAGGTTGGTTTTAAAAACTATAATGCTTTAATGAATTTGAGCAATGCTTTCATATAACAGATCATAGAACATAACCAATATGTTTATGTTCTGATCAGCTTGCTTACCTTGCCCTTTGTAAAAGCTGGTTTACTGAATTCATAAAAGAGTTCAGATTCTAAGCATGCTTCTATTGCTCTGTTCTCTTCAAAAAGGCTTCCCTTCTCAGTAAGATCCTCTTGACTCAAATTGATCTTCAGAGGTCCACCCACACTTTCTTCAAAATGCTTGTCCTCATATTTATTGGGGATGGAAAATTCATCTTCCTCCTCTGACAGCGCATCGTCATCTCCAGATGCAGTGTATGTGTTATCTAGTTCATCTCCAGCTCCACACTCCCTCTCATTTAGAAGACTTGGTTCTTCCTCCTCCTCTTCATCATCATCTGAGTTAATCATTTGGGATATTTGACTCTGTGCTGAATGAGTGAATTTTTTTGGGGATTCATCCAGTTCATCAGTACCTTCGGTGCTCTCCTCATAAATGTCAATCTTGTCATCCATTATACCACTGCACTCTAAGCCAAACTCATCACTCTCTGTAAGCGTAGTGTTTTGAAAACCTTCCAAGTCTGAAGTACTACATGTCTCCATATCATGCTCATTCACTGTAACGGGGAGATCTCCACTATCACTGTCTTCATCTATTCCCTGCTCAGTAGTCAAGATGTTGTTCCATCTTCTTTTTTGTTGTTCATGTTCTTCTTCTTCCTCCTCTTCTTCCTCTTCATTTCCACTCTCTGTCTCTTCACAACTCGGTTTAAAATCCTCATTATCTCCAGAAATAACTTCCTCAATTATACAGTCTGAATCTTCATGGGCAATTCCCAAATGACTTACATCATCAGCCAGTTCTTCTTCTGTGAAGCTTTCTGAGCCATCACACAGTTTTGAAGGATCAATTCTATGTGCCTGGGGCATACCTGTAGTCTCTGCTACGCAATCTTCCACTATAGCTGTGTTGGTTCTAACTTCATCCAAGTTCTTAAACTCAGAATTTTCATGCATTATAGCATCTTTTCCATGGTCCAACATTTGAGATTTCTCCTCATTGGCATTTGGAGAGGATTTTTTGCTCAATTTTGCACTTTTTTTGTGAGGCAAGGCAAAATACTTGTAAGTTGCTCTCAGGCAGTGAAGAATATACTCATACACTAACTGGCTGTTCAGAGTTCTTGCCACATTCCTTTTGACTGAATACGGGTCTAAGAGAAAGAAGTAGTGAGCCAGCAATGCAGAGTTAACTTTTTTAACATCCTTAGAATATTTGAATGTTCTACTGTTAGTTACTCTAAAACATTGTGTAGGGACATTAAGATCTATGCATTGTACTGAAGACAATTTTTAAGTCCACTTAATTACTTTTGACAATGTTGAAAAAAATACTCAGGAAAAATACTAAAAAAAAAAAATAAAATTGGTTTAGTTTTTTTTCAAAATACATTCTACTATATTATTGGGAATCACTGTCCAATACTGAAAAATTCCAAGTTATTACACACAATGTCAATAGCAACACCTGAGAAAAAAAGTAACAGTTCTTTGAAGTTGGTATATATACCTTCCACAGCAAGGCGCTTTTTAGGCCAGTCCTTTGATTCTCGAGACACTGTTTCTTTGAGTCGTATGCTAATAACCAAATCAGCCATATTGAACTCCAAGGCATAGAAACGAAGCAGTTCTACCCAGAGCTGACCAGCAGGTGCTGAACACTGCTGTCCTGAACCAAATACTAAGGGAACCTGTCAATTACAGAAGAAAAGCTTAAATAATATTTAATGTGTACTTCCTTGTATTTAATCTGAAATGTAATATTATAAAATTTATACTTGATTCTATACTACTGCAATTGCAATAAAAACTGCAGTTAAGAAATTGGAGGAGATAACTGTTTATGCCATAATTTATAAGTTTCCAAGAAAATATCACATCTAATCTAATTAGACAGAATGGATTATATAGCTTATTTTTTAGCAAAGCCTAAGCTGTATTGTTAACTGTCATAACATGCAATCATACACTGGTACTGTTTCTTGCAAAGTTGTTAGAAAATAAATAATTTGTAAGAATAGTTCAAAGTTAAGAGGAAATATTTGTCATATGCTTAACCTAATTCTGAAATAAAATTGCTTCAGCTCTATAAACAATATTCTCCCCTGACAGGTTAAAACCCAGGTTCTAACTAAAGAGTTCGAAATAACACCTGGTTTTCTGCTAGCTTCTTAGCACCAAAAGGTCAGCAGAGTAAGCATGCTATCAAGCAGTCATGCAATCTCTTATTCCAGCTTGTGGTTTTGCAACATAAACACAAATCAAATAAAGAAGATGGTTCTTTTCTCAAGAATAGCAATGACTGCAAGACTACTATAGAAGTAAATTAAGTGGTTCAGACCTTGCCCCTTCTAGGGGAAGTTTCTTGTGGAAAATCAGAATCATCAGTAGGGTTATGCTCCCAAACCACAGCATCATTCTCGACTTCTTTCAGATTAAAATTAGTTAATTTGTTCAATGAGAATCCTCCAATCTAAAGGAAACAGAAAAAGAAACATACAGCTAAAATAGCTGTTCCAGGCCTAGAATATGCTCCAATCTGCTTCTCTCTTCTCCCCATACTTCTCTACAGAAAGCTCTCAAGAGTTCAGTGTGTTTGGAAGGGCATCCATATGTCACAGAACCTTGTCTCTGCACACTACCCAAGCATAAATATGTATTTTTTAAATATACAGCCATATACTATAGGATTTTTCTCTCAAAAAGCCTGTGCAGACAGTGAAGAGGCTTTGGGAATGAGTCAGTCATGTAGTGAAGGGAAGTGTTAACTGCAAGGCCCATGTAATTGGTTACGGGAACATGCCAATAAATTTAACAGGTGACTGTAAGAACAAAAATGGGAGCCATGAATATAACACCCGAATAGTGGTCTGGAGAACTGGATTCTGGATTTGTGTCCATAAAACAAGAAATACATCCCTTGAGCAGATATCATAGTGTGCTCCCCCCAGCTGTGGTCTACATTTTGAAGAATTAGATGTCAAAATCCAAGACGCTGTTTTGGAATGTAGCTATGTGAATTCAGAGTTCTCAGGAGTCTGGAAGACAGGCTGGAGAAATGAGTAAGTAGGTTGTTATGAAGTGCATTATTCAATGCCCAGCTCTCCTTACTCACAAAAGGGGCAACAGAGCACTTAATTCAATGACTAGGATTGTGATTTGCATCCTTATGGCCAAGCATACAAAGGTTAGGAGTAGTCTGGCTGAATTAACTTTCTTCCTGAATTCCTGCAGAAATGGCTTGCTTTGGATAGCAAGAAACTGACAGGTTACACACCAGCACACATAATTGGTCCTCTCATTCATACTATTCAGTGTATTAATACACATACCCATGATCCCAAATAGACAGGTAGAAAAGGATCTTTCCTCTGTTGTAGAAAGAAAATAACCATTAAAGCGAACACGTAAGGTGACAAGCCTCCCTCTTCAGGATGATCAACACAGCACAACTGTAAAAACAAATCATGCAGACATTAGAGTTTCAAGTGAAACATATTCTTCTAATTACTGTTCAGAAGTCTGTCACATTAAATACTGACAGAAACTCAGACATCTTTGACCTCTTATGAGATTGACTTTTTTCTCAGGGCCTGTATATTTACTGGACTCATAACATTTTCAGTATAAGACCCATAGGATGCAGACTGGCAAAACAGCATACAGCACATTTGCAAAAACAATGACTCATTTTATGTAGCTATAGTACAAGCCAAAAGCTTTTCAATGTTTTTCTTAAATCATATTTTAATTGTAGGCACACAAAGTTTTGGAACAAGTTATTTTAATTCAAAAGAAAATTTTTAATCTACATATGGAAACAAGCTGCTTTTTCTTTCATTTTTTTCATGAAGGATTATGGGAAACTGGTAATTCCATTTCATATACATTCCTCTGACTTGTTTGGTAACAGAGGAGGATACTTACAGTCTGCATGCCACTGGCTGAAGCTTAAAATGCCACTTTTGAAATTTTGTGTGTTATAATATTCCACTAATGATAGTTATATCATTTATAAAATTTACAATTTACAAAAAATTTTAAAATCCTTTTGCCAACTCTTTTTCTAAAGACTGTTTCAACACCTGTCTTTAGAAATAAACAAACTGTGTTTAGAAAGAAACAACATTTCAACAATACCAGGAGATGTTTAGATTGGATATTAGGTAAAATTTCTTCACAGAGAGGCTTGTCCAGTATTGGAAGAGGCTGCCCAGGGAAGTGGCTGAGGCCCCATCCCTGGAAGCATTTAAAAGATGTGTAGATGTAGTGCTTAGGGACATGGTTTAGTGGTGGACTTGGCAGTGCTAGATTAATGGTTGGAATAGATGATCTTAAAGGTCTTTTCCAACCTAAATGATTCTATGATTCTAACTGTCTTCAAAACCTTACGGTCTTACCAGCATAATATCAATGTTCATTCAATATTTATTCATAGATGGGGGAATACACATGATTCTTACCTTTGCCCAGTACCTGAAGGCAATCACTAAAGGTACTACAGTAGGTTCCAGTTTTCCAAGTGTAGCCAAATGGTTTGTTGTCAGACAAGCATTCTCATTCCCTGCACTCACTTTACAAATAAGGCCACTAAAACCCAAAAAGAAACACAGTAAAAGATCTTGGAGGTTTTTTAAGAACAGCCATAGGTCAGATGGCATCTCACAAAACAGCGTAGCAGAAGGCTGTAAGGAAATATTTAACAGCTTCTCAAAGACACTCTATCTACATTAAAAAAAGCATGGAAAACCAATTTGATTCATGGTTGGCGTGAAAATATATGCATTATAATTTTCTGTGAAAGTGTTTTCAACTACAATTCAAATTTAAGTATTTTTTTCTACTGATATTAACTCACTGAACTAAAAAAAAAAAGAAATTACAGTACTAATTTCCTGCATGAATCAAAAACATATTCCTGTGAGAAAATAGTTTCTACACTGTTTCCACAGCACAAGAAACATTTTCAAACAGTGAAAGATCAAGGTAGCAGGAAATAACTGGGAATATTTCTGTATCGGTAGCTGTTTATAGAACGTTTCATCAATCTTAGATGACATCCATAAAATGGGCAAAATAAAATGTCTCTCACTTGTTCTCAAAATACTAGTGAAGCTAAGCAAGCTGATCTTGCCCTTACAGAAATCCATAACTTAATATGGTATCTACATTACCTATAAGGAAGAAACGTTTCTGCTTAAGCAGTTATTCCAAATGGAAGGGTAAGGGTACATGCTGGAAGCCATAATGGTTGAAGGGATTGGGAAATACACAGCTGAGGACAGAACAACCCTTACCCTCTTATTCTAGGCTAGGAATGACTTGCCCATGAGTGTTAGTTTGTGTTTCAAGATCCATGGAACTGTAATAATTTAGTACAGAAACGTCATTTTTCAGATGTTGGTACATATAATTTACATTGCTATATACTATTAGAACACACAAAGTGACAACTGAGACCTTTGCTTTTCTTTGCACACCACCACTGGTATTCTAGCATGGAAATCTGCATCAACTTCCGTAAAAGATTCTAGTGGGGAGAAAGAAAAAGAAAAGCCACGTTAAGCACAGTGTTGACAAACAACATGTTGAAGTGCATGTAACTAGAAGAGTACAGGTAGAACCTCAACTTCTTAATATAATGACTAATTTTGAGACAAATAACTCAGTACATCTGATAGATTAATCCTGTCACTCTTCTAAAGCAGGTTTTTCATATGTGATGGAAAAAGTATAGTCTATACTCTATGAGAACCACTGTTAAGAAAATTCTCAAGAACAATGGAACTTTTCAAATTCATATACACAGTAGTTATAATTAAGCAGGTATATTTTGGTTAAGTGCTGGCTTCAGTAATCCAGGCATACAGACAGACCAATGACACCTCTAAAACAATGTTAGCGTGAAAGGTGAGTAAACCAGAGCATTATGTCAATACCAGACAGAAAGCAAATATCCATGTTTACTTTCCCTGGTAATCTAGAAATGCTCTATGTAAGTATAGAACAGGCTTACTGACATGATGTAATGTCTTCTTGCAATGCTTATTTTTTTATTTTTTCTTCTTATTCTTTATATAGGTTTCTAAATACAATTCAGCTACATTTTTATCTTAACACTAAAAATGTAGAGATGCCCACTGCAGTCCTTTCTCCAAATGAAGTTTATTGATCCAAACTGGGCTTGTTTTTTGATGCCTCATTGTTTCTACTCGGCCAGGCAGAAACTATAAAACACTTTTAGATACCCAACTCAAAAATTCTGAAATGACAAGGTTTTCTTGATGTTACCTAGCTATATGGACATCGGACTTCTTTGAAAAACATCTTGCTTTTGCCACTAGGGTATCTCAAACACCTAATGCTCTGTTCCTGTATCTTTGGACTCTCAGAAAAAGGTGTCACACAAGATGTTAATGCAAATATTCCTTGTTTTCAAAACACATTAGAGATCCTACCTTCCTATGGAATCTGGGTTGTCATTCTTCCAGTCTGGCTGAACAATAACCCCATTCTCAAAGACTGTAATGGTCATTTGACCAGACAAGAAGATGCACACGCAATGGGAGGTAGGGGTGGCAATGAGAAAAATCTAGGTCAGTAAATATATGCATGTTTAATATACATGTTTGGAACCATGCAGTCTGATTTCCCAACTGTGGGAGTAAAGCAAGGCAAGAAAGTAGTAAAACAACTTTTTGCAATCTGCATTTAAAAGGACAGAGTTTCTTTCCCATCTTTTCATATTTTGCCTGCGTATGCTAGAATTGGTTTGAGTAAGTGCTTTTTTTTTTTTTTTTTTTTTTTTTTTTTAAGATCTTAAACTTGACTTGCCTGTGCTACTGCACAGAGTTGCATTGATTACCTGAAGAAAATCTATGTGTTTGTATGTGGTCATTTGTACATGGCCTCACTGTACTAACAGGTATGTTCCAGACAAGAGACCAGAAAAGAGACCACAATCTGAAAGTACATTATCAAATTTCTGATCACATGTTAGAAGAGCTTAGGCTACTTTCTGTACTATACATGGTCAACAGAGCAGTCTGGGGAAAGAAAGGCTGCACAGTCTACCTTAATGACACCTTCACTCACAGCGTAGAAGCAAACCTCCCACTAGGAATTTCTTGTATCAACACAAATAATGGACTTCAACAGTCATAAATCTGAATACCAAACCAAAATAAGTTCTGCTGATGTATTATTTCCTGCAGTATTTTTCAGTCTCACATCTTTCTATAATTAGAATGGCATATGGTTTACCTGTTCAACAGAGGTGGAATTCAACAATACTAAGCAGTAATAACTTAATGGAATTGAGAAGGCAGGAATTTTTTCTTACCACTGTGCTGGAGACTTTCTTGCACAAGTAAGAGAACATCTGGTTGAGTCATCTGTCAATAAAAGTAATAAAGCTGTTTTCACAGCTGTCAAAAAGGTGATTTCCCACAACTCAAAAAATTTTAAAACATTGCCACTAGACCACTTCTGTTTTTCTTCCAGAGAGGGCAGCAAGAAGAAAATGAAGTAACAGCAACTGAGAAAAAACTGCTGTTAGTCCTTGGTAATTGCTAAATTGTATCAAAAGGAACAAGCTCTGCTTATTTTGAAGGAAAAAACCCTCATCTTGGAGGAATTTTAAGTAAATCTAACGTTACCTCTGTCAAAGACTTGGTTGTATAAAGAAACCAACAGAAATACTACTTCAGCATACTTAAATATGATTGCCTTCTGACATAGTGGATCTACCTCACATCAAAGATTGGAATCATAGCTTTTTTAAAATTATATGCACTTAATGAACTCGGATCATTCTTTTTCCCTACTACATTTCCATCTTTGTTTCCTAGAGGAAATGCTAAATTTTAACTATGAGAACTGCCAAATCAACTACAGCAGGAACAAGTTTAAGAATGGAATCAAAAGCTGGTCACCATCCTTAAATTCTTTTCAATGTTCAAGCACAAAGACGTGTAGAAACAACTAGCATGCCAAATCATGACTTCAAGTTACTTGACATATAAATGACATAAGATGGTTTCATGGCTCAAAAATAACCTAACAATCAAAAACTCTGACATGCACATATCAGTACAGAAACAAGATCATGGAGGTGCCATTTAATCCAGCTGTAAGATAATAACGATGTGTCTCATAGGACTGCTAGGAGTACAGGCTTCTAAAGTGTTTTCAGTTTTTCAGAAGGAAGATTTGATAAAACACAGAACTGTATTACACTGCCCATACACTACTGGTGTATGAAACAATGAATGTTATTTTAAGACCATTTTAATGTGGTAGCTCTGTTTTACCCAATGCATTTTCATAAAAAGTGCTACTACCACACTGTAAGTTATACTTAAACTATATTCTACAATCTACATAAAGGTGCAAACATTCAAAACCACTTAGACATACTTAATAAAATGGTCTTACTTACATTGGCAGGAAACTGGATATCTATGTTTATGTCTGAAGTTTTGAAACCAAATCTGCTATAGGAGGAGCCATACAATCTTAATGAGCACTCTGCAACAAAAAGAGTTATAACATGTTTACTCTATACCTAATCCTAAGTCTGTAGCAACTGCACAGCACTGTCAATAAATCTTAAACCTACATGTAGTTTTGACAACCACAGGAAATGAAGAAGGGTCTTCCAACAGTACAGGACTGTGTTAGTAAATCCTGCCTTCCATGCTGTTGCTAGTAAAGGCTTATCATGAAGGTCAAATGCCCCCCATGTCCTGTTCATCTTCACCTTTTACTACAGGTCTGTTTGGGTCATGAGCACCATTGTAGTTTAATTCTGATACAGGGTTATAATGCCACATTATGTCATTCAACAGACTAAATATACTGGTTTAGAATTCAGGTAGCCAAGGTTTTCACTTTATGAGCTGTTGTTTTCTTTTTTTCTTTTTCTTTTTTTTTTTAAGTTGGCATTCCTATAATTTAAAAGAAGTTGCAAATAATACCTGGCAATTTTTGACGCAGTAAGTTTTCCATCACTGTTTTAATGTTGAGCCTTTCTTCTACATCTTCATTATTCAAGCCAAACTCCTGCACTACATTTTCAATAGCAACACCAATAGCTTGTATCTGGGAAGGTGTTGGAGGAGGCAGAGCAGTCAGCAACTGTTCTTCTTGCTTTTCCTTTAAAGATAGCAAGACTGACATTTTAATGGTTTTCTCGAGCTGCTTAATGTGCTATAATGAATGCCTGCAACTCTCCCAAGTCACACCACCACCAGTTTTCCAGATAATGGAGGTAATTGGAAGCAAGAACATCAAGAGAGTAACTGTGACGGGTGTAAAGTATTAGAAATTTCAGGAGGCTTCAGTAATGCGCAGAGGTATATGTACCTGTATTTGGAACACTAACAAAAAAAAAAAAATCACCAATTCTTTCATCACATATGAAGTGGGAACAGTAGGAGTTAAGGAGGAAGAAACAGAAAACCTGCAGAAGACAAATATTTTTGTCCACTTCAAGCTGAGAAAGTAGAAGGAACAAAGACATTTAATTAAAAAATAGAACGTAAAATCAAAGTTATGCTGGAAGTTATTTTGATGATTATGTTCAAAACAAACCTATTTCCTTTACATATAAATACATCTGTAACACTCCACAAGTTCTTAATTTCATGTACAGTATTTCTGAATTGAAATCTTCACCCTGACACATAGGTTATAATTTCTAATTCTGCCATACCAACTATATTTGCTTATTGCTACTCCTCATTGCTCTGGACTGGATCAAAACTCTTCATTGCTGAAATATACCAATGAAATACACGCTAAGAAGAATACACATTAACTAGCCTACCAGAAAAAGTACAGAACAGCAAAATGGAAGAGTCAGTTGGTATAGCTTTTTTATACTTCAATCACCATTGACAAAATGTTACTGAATTATACTTTAAATGAGGAGCTCTTTTAGTAATAATAGGCACAAAAAAGTACAAATTAAATTCCAAAGCTCAGGGCAGAAGCAAAGTCCAGGTCCCAAGTTTACTTTTTTTACCAGTATCACTAAGGAATAGTTTTTAAGAAGATTCAAACATGGTAAGAAGTAAATGTGGAATGATTTTAGAAGCAGTGAAGTTTCATTGTCATTAGTAGGGTGAGGACAGTTTCATAAATCTGCATTTTATACTTTTTCTTGTCCTTAACTCACCTTTAGGCTTTTCTTGTGTCTTTTCTCTTTAATATGCTTATGAGCAAAAGCCACCGACTCAATCAAAACATCACACAACTTGCAGGTATATTTTGCTGATGGGTAGCTTCGAGGTTGCTAAAATAAAGATAGTGAAAAACCCTAAAATATAGAAAGATATTACCTTCATTTCATTCAATACCCTTGCTAAGTTGAATGACTGTAAATACTCACTTTAGCTTTCTCAACTCCATCTTTACAGTCAAAAAGTTTGCATATGAAATATAATGCCTGAAGAATGGTGGTACTGGGTCAATCAAGCCCAACACCTTGTCTTTTACAGTTGAAAATACCCAATGCCCATGGAAAAATATATTAACTGAACACACATACAATAAAACTTTTCTGGTCCGCTGCCCCAGCATCTAGTGATTTGATGTTAATTCATGAACTAAAGGAGCAGCTACTTTTTTGCTTAAATTGCTGCCAAACCAAGATTTATTAGAGTAAAAAACCAAAGGAACCAAACCTGCCTTCTCTTAAGAATTCATAATAGCACCCATTTTGTACATTACATCAATTCTATAACTAGACTTTACAGCTACAGTCAGAAAAATTGCTCAAAGTGTACCCTCTATATTGTATTTACAGACAAAAAAAATAGGACTATACGAGCAAAGACAGTGGCACCTTCTTCAGTCTATAAATGCAGTCTCGCTTCAATCGTTCTTCAGCCTGCTGCAACCCTAGAAGTTCTTTTGCCGACAGCACAGATTCATCTATGACTGGACCATCCACTTCATCTTGATCATACTCATCTTTTCTAGTTCTTCTTGATCTTCTTGGTTTCCTAAGCTTCTTCATTTCTTATAAAGAGTTATGAGAGCAAATATGTCAAATAACTTCAAAGCACTACATTGCATTTTGTTTTTTTCTTTAATTACCACTCTACTTATGTGCGAGTCAAAGAAGACACAAATCTCTACCCTACACAGTTTCATAATCTGTTCTGTGCAAGTCTGATAATAGCAAGAGTGTATTAATGTCACAACCTACCTTTGTTCCGAACTACTAAAAACCACTAACTTGTCCCACTGAAGGCACAGACCTTATTTAGATAGCTTTGTTAAAACTAGCAAAAAAAATAAAATTGAATGCAATAGATTTCACTGCCTAGCTGAGACATACCTGTATGTCATTATAATGAAAAGGTAGAATATATCCAAAGATATCAGGATGCCTGGTCAGGTTTAGGTAGACGAATAAGCTAGAAAGTGAACTGACCCATAAACCACTAAGAATACCGCAGAATTAGTGAGTGTAGACCATCTGAATGATTTGTAAGAGCTAACAGCACTATGACATAGCACTGCCGTGGCTTAGCTGTCACACAGCAATTTATTATCACCAGTAATAATTGCCTGTTAATGTCACTTGCCTTTCAATTAAAGCAGCATATGGATCAGTATTGCCTTCACATTATTAAACAGAAAAGTGAAAAAAAATAACCCTTATTGGCTGCATAAGTCAATAAATAATGAACTTGCTAACTATTTGCACACATTGCTTAATAAAGCTATACAACTGGCAGAATAAACATGCTTAGAAAGCTTGTTATGTTTACAGCAAAGGTTATGGAACAAATTGGCATAAATACCATTTCTACCTTTAAGCAAACTTTGTCACCATTTTGAAGCAGGAATTGCTACTGGTACAAAGAATACCTGTAAAAATCATCTCAGGAATGAACACACAGGCCAGATTTTCACACATGACTTTAGATCGTATCTTATTTTTCACGTGAACCGTTATACAGGATGTCCAGATGCATGGAATTTCTAAAGTTCCTTGCTTCTGAGAAAGTTTATGCAACTTCCTTAGACTCTAAAACCCCTATCACAGCATGAGGTTTTAATTTGTAATAATTAAAAAAAGAAGAAAACCACACAACTGCTCTACCAAACACATTTACAAAGTTTCTTTCCTGCGATCACAATTTTTGTCTCTAGTAGTTGGCAAAATGGAAACAACCTGGTTGTGTATTTTTAACCAGTTGTTTGATTCAGTTCACTAAGCAGCATGCATGTGCTAGCGTCATAAACAGGAACAGGACAAGAATGGTCATATAACTTCTTTCAACAGAAGCACAAATTTATGCTGGAAAAAACAGAACTAAGGCTTAATAGGTTGCAGGGGCAGTAGTCCAAAGGAAGCTCCAAGGAGCAGAAACAAACATCTGAGTCTCTGAACTTCACACATCCCTTCCATTTTCCATGCTGACTCTCCTGCTCAAACTCTGAAGAACCACCACAGTTGTTTGACTACATTTTTACTGATTGGAGAAGGCAGAACTTGAGAAAAACTTGTATTAAATTAGTGTCTTTGCAGGAAAGCGTGTGGCAACTACCTACTTAGCAATTATTTCCATAATCACTAAGTAACTTAATAAATTACAAAGTAAATAAATACTTTTAATATTTGGTAGTTACAGTAGTGACAATCTAATTATAGGTTAATGACTAAATAAAGTATTAAAGGCAAGTTAAAGCTCCTGCAGAAAAATCAATGCCTCAGAGATTTGGTAAACTTCCTTATGAGCCACAGTAAAAAGGCATAAAGGTAAAGGAAAGGGACAACTGCATAAAAACTTTCAAGCGAAAGGAAGTGCTAAAAGAAACATTTTTAGTAATTTGCTACTTGACATAGAACTTTTGAAGTGACCTCAAGAGGTGAGCTATGCCATGCCTGTGCTTTGCAGCAGGAGGAAATTAACTTTGTCAATCCTGAGCAATGCTTACCTAACCTGTTCTTAAAGGCCTTCAGGTACATACTCCATGAGCTGCAAGACAACCTCTTGAGTACTTTGCTAGCTTTACCATTAGACACTCTCCCTTTATTCCTCATCTGAACCTTTCTTGCTCAATTTTAGGCCCATTGCTCTGTGTCCCATCTACTGGAAAGACACAAGCCAGATTACTACATCAGCTTTTTAATATCTTTCTAGACAGCTGAAGACTCTTACCATGCCTCCCTACCCTTTCCTTCTGCAGAAAGATTGGGAATTGTTTAGTTTGTATGGTTTCTGTTTTCTATGTGCCCTGGCATTCTTCTTGCTCCTCTTTGGACTGTTTCTGTTTTATTCATTCAAGTGGGGTGCCAAAGCTGGACAGGGTACTACAACTAAGTTTACCAAAGACTTACAGAAAAAAACTTCAGGCTGTGAATCTGTTTTCATGCCTCGTAACACCATGACACTGACTATTCATAATCATCTTCTGATTCACTATGGTTTCAGATTCTCCTCTAAAAAATACTTTATAACTTTTCCTCTTTTATTTGTACAGTTGATGTTCCTACTTAAACAATGGCACTTGCACATATTTCTTTTGTATTTCATCCTATATGTAGGTCATTTCTCAAATTGTGCAGTTATTTTAATTGACCTTCCTGCTTTTCTGCATTCAGTTTATACCAGCTCCACAGCATATTCAAATTTAAAAGCACACAATTAACAAGCGTGTTAGTCTTCACTCATCATCATAATAGTGTAATAAACATCCAACAGAACAGAATCCTTGAAGATGCTTGCTCAATGCTTTCTATCATTTTGACAAAATTTTTGGTAAGTATTTTCTGAGTATAGTTATTTAATTAGCTCTGCAAGTCTCATGTTAATTTCATCTAGAGAATTTTCATCTAGTTTACTTACAGGACTGTCAGGTAAGAGTGCCTAAAGTACTACAGTACTAGTACTAGCTTCTCCCACGTCCACAGGGGACTGATAATAATTTAAAATAAATAAATTAGAAGGACTTTGCATACCTTTTTCTTGACAAAACCATGTTTACTGCTACTCACATCTATTACCTTTCAAATACTTATTGTAGGTTACATTATTTGTTCCAGAATGGATTCCCAAGATTAAAGTTGTGTACCATTTTGTTTAATTCCACTTTTAACAAACACTTGCCCTTTCCTATGTGCCAGTAGTTCACTTCTCCTGAAAAAGTTTTCAGGTATGATTGCTGGTAGTTTCAAAAGTCTACTTCAGTGAGTTCCTGAAGTTTCACAGAACAAAATTCATTAGACCTAGCAAATTTGAGAACAAACTTGTGAAAGCATTCTACTCCACTGTCTTCTCATCTGAGGCTGAGCTTAAGAGAGGAACTTACTTCTAACAATGAGAGACACTGGGCACTTGCTCACAGTTTATGTTTTCAGCAACAGCCATTATCAAGGGAAAGGACATTTAATTCCCGGACTTCCTGGTATCAACCAGCAATAGTTTTTCTTCTCAGCAGGGGGGAAGATCAATACTGTCCTTGGCTCCCAGTCTTAACTAAAACAAGACAGGTTCTTGCTAACAGGCAGTTGTTCCGTGTTAGAAGAGCACTTAATCTGCGCCTTAGTCTTATTTTATCTAATTACATTCTCTTTAAAGCTTCCTCTTTCTGCTTTGATCTACTTACACTTCCTTCTAGTACTTGTACTCAATGAGGATCTTATTATACTGATCACTTTATCCTCCTCTTTCTTGCATTTCAAGACTTAGGGCTTCTATTCTCATTATTAATACCAATTGCCCATAGAGAAGTTCAATATGCATGGAGAATTAGTTTTGTGTTATTGCTGTATTACTGTTGCTAGTATTAAGTTCTCACAATATCTATGAGGCCCTGTTTTCAATCTTCATTAACATATGCTGTTACAGACCTCATTGGTAGCTCCAGAATCTTACCCTGTATCAACTTAACTGAAACATCCCTCATCAGCCCTGACAAATTCAATCAAATTGTATGTGGAAAACCACAAATAGGAACACTACACAGATGTTTCAGTCTACTTAGTCTTACCACTTATAAACTAACTTACAAAGACAACACAATTTATAAAACAAATTCTGTATCATTCTCTGTAACAGTTTGTTTAAAGTGCTGCAGTATAGTACAGTCAACAGTTTGCAATATATGACAATAAAAATGATTTTTTGCTTGAATAGTGAATCTTGAAATTTTACTTTTCAGTAACACACACAGAAAGTGATTTTACTGTATAATGAGGTAAAAACAAACATGTTGATTACCAGAGCTTCCTTTCTGCATATCTGTCATGTCTTCACTCATTAACTCTTCCTGAAGTTGTCGCCTTACATTTCTGTTTCCAGCACCTTCAGCCTCGTGAAAAGAATCTTTTCTTGTCCTGCTATGCACAGGAACCCAGGCAACAGATCTATACTCTCTCCAGCTGTCAGAAGCACCACGGTGGTCATCAGATACCCACTTCTTCATTTGGTCTCTCTGGGTATCATTTATCTTTGACCCTTGACTGTAAGTTGTGTTTTTAAGTGAATTTGGGGTACTCAAAACACTACGTGGGCCTCGCCTGGGACTGCTTCCATAATGACCTGGTGTTCCCTTTTTCTTTTGCAGGCTGGTATCTGTTTTATTGCTGTGGCCACTTCCATATTCATCCATGACTCGGTAGTCTTTCTGTAAGGGGCTTCCTTTTAATTCTTCTTGGTGTAAAATCTCCTGTTCCTTATTTTGTTTAGCAAAGCAAGGTTTTGCAGCATCTCCCATGGTTATTGCTGTTCAATTTAGCAATTCCCACCTAGAAATTAAAAAGTTAAAAGTTGTATTTTAAAATTAATCAAGTGATAAACCCTGATTATCATTTGTTATGGAAATCTCAACAATCAAAGCCCTGGCTCTGTAATACCATCAAGGCAAGCAAGTCTTGGTGGAAAGCAAAAGTTGCTCCAACCAATCAAAAGGCAGTTCAAAACTCAGCTAGGTTTCCCCTCTTAAAATATCTAAGACCTATGGGCGATTCACAAAGCGCAGAGACAGCCTGTGGCTTTTCGGGGCATTAAGATCTAGGCACCTTTAGAACAGATACCTGCTTTTAAGAAGGTCATCAGAAAACATCAAAGTCTCAGCTCAGTACAGTAAAGCTTTGAAAGAATGACCGGAGAGACTTTGTAGCATGTAGAACATGTAGGAGGCAATAACAAGGATGGCCCCAAAGCCATCATCTGAATAGTCCCCTTTTCCCACAGTAAACACTGTTCACCTTGTTAAGAATTGTGATCAGAGGAGACAGAGATGTAGAAGTTGAGCAGCAATCCATCTGTCAGGCAAATCTGATACAATGATTAAGAAATAATGCTGCCCTGCCCAGTGCACTCTGCACATTTTACCTAGACCAGCATTCTGAGGTCTCACATTACTGGGTATTAAGCACTCATATTTCATATAATTTTAGTATTCTCTAATGTATCTGGGCTACTGATTTGCTCTCCCCACCCTTGGTCATGTCCATGTTCTTATTGTAAAACATTTCCAGGGAGCTGTAACTCCAATGTTAGCATAAACCTGTGTGGATTGTGAAAGGGGGAGCTACCTGGGAGAGACTGGGAAAACACTGGTAAGCAGCAGCAGTCACATCAACAGTGAATATTGCATTATTTAAATATAGACACATACAACTAAACAAAAAAAAAATTTCTTTCAGAAGACATCCAAGTGCTTAAGGATGCAGAGAAGACTGTATGGACATCTTAAGGACATTATACAAGGGTGGTCCATAGACTAAAGGAATGGTATCTGTGTATTATATCAAAGGATGGAGGGGGCGTGGTGGTTTATGAGGATGTATTGGATAGCGTGGGACCTGAGCATAACATAAATGGTATGGAATAAGGAATGGATACTGTCCTGGTTTTGGCTGGGATAGAGTTATTTTTCTTTCTAGTTGCTGGCATAGTGCTGTGTTTTGGACTTAGGATGAGAAGAATGCTGATAACACACTGATGTTTTAGTTGTTGACAAGTAGAGCTTACACCAGTCAAGGACTTTCTCAACTTCCCATTCTCTGCCAGGTGCACAAGAAGCTGGGAGGGGGCACAGCCAGGACAGCTGCCCCAAATTGGCCAAAGGGCTATTCCAGACCATATGATATCATGCTCAGTGTATAAACTGGGGGAAGAAGGAAGGAAAGGGGGGGATGTTTGGAGGGATGGCATTTGTCTTCACAAGTCACTGTTACGCATGATGGAGCCCTGCTTTCCTGGGGATGGCTGAACATGGGAAGCAGTGAATGAATTCCTTGTTTTCCTTTGCTTGCAAGCATGGTTTTTGCTTTACCTATTAAACTGTCTTTATCTCAACCCATGAGTTTTCTCAGTTCTGCCCTTCTAATTCTCTCCCCCATCCAACCAGGGGGCGTGGGGAGAGTGAGCGAGCGGCTGGGTGGTGCTTAGTTGCCGGCTGGGGTTAAACCACAGCCTGCATTTACAAGAAGCCTCTGAACAGCAGGAAACGCCCTTTCTGTTGCCTTTAATATGGGAGTAGGGTACCTGATTTTCTTAAATGCTTTTTGAAGTTCTGCAAGCCCCCAAAGGCATCCTTAGGCATCTCAGCATCTGCTTTGTACAGGCTTGAACCTTTTAGCATTTACCCACCTCTTAAGCCGAAGAGGTTTTTCACTCTTACATGAGCGACAAACAAGTAGGATTCCTGTGCTAAAGACTTAACTCCATAGCCAGTTAAGTACGACTGTGAAGATGCAGCCACTCCAGCTAAGAGCCGAAAGAAAAGTTACAAATGCACAAAGTGAACTTGCTTCCTATTTTAGGAAAGAAACTGCCGTCAAGTCTGAACTGCAGCGTGACCTAAAACCAGCTTGTTTTAGAGTCATCGCCAGAAGCAACGCCCACACCCAGCGGCCGGGCTGGATGATGACACACTCCCTGCACTGGCAGGGAGCACAGAGGCACAGTTTACGCTCGCCTCTGGCTCTCAACCACGACGCGAGGCGCT